ACAGAAAAAGCTCTAAGTTTTGAAATTAGGAATTTAAAATCTTTCTGAAGGTTCAAATGTCCAAACCTTAGAAAAAACAAAATGGGACTTATAATCCAGTTTGCATCTGATGAATTAATTATTTAGTTGGATTTGATATCAGTTTGGTGGTCTTCATGTAAATTATATGGGAAAACAGATTTATTAATTTTTATGCGAAAGCCTAAAGAAATTAATAATGTGTCTGAAAATAATTATTCTTTCTCGAATAACAGTTTCTCATAACTTTATTCTTTCTAAAAAACTGCATACATGTTAAAGGAAATTTTTTTTTATAATTTTATTTATTTATTTTTTTAAATAATGATTTATTTTACATTCAGATGAAAAACTATTTACTCAATTATAATCACAAAGACCCATACATATTCTTTCAGTTCAGTTTATTTCTTCTAAAACCAAAGAACAGTTATAAATGAAAGGGCAATGAAGGAAACAGAAGAAAATGTTTGGTTTTTCTACCTGAAAGAAGAATATTCAGGTACTTATTACAACAATTTTAAATTTACATTTTGTTGACACATACTTTTCTGAATACAGAGCAAGAGAAATAAGATTTTTTATTTATATTCAACCATGCTAATTGTGTAAAAAATACAAAATTCTCATTAATTTACTCATAAGCCTCTTTCTATTCAACATATCTCATTATTTTTGAAACAATATCAATATGTATTTGCAGCTCTTGGAAAATTCAGTTGCTGTTCTTAAACTTTTATGAAACTATGTTTCTTTTGTCTTCATGAAGTTTGGCCACACCTGATATATGGTACTGGTTTGTTATATGTAAGTTGCTTTAAGGAAATTTGTTGTATGACATATTGTTCATGTGATCTTATATATTAATAGTTCCAAGGAATTAATTGCATCCCTCTATGCATGATATAAGTAGCTATCATATCTAGCTATTCAGCTAACAACTGGAAGATCCATAGTTTTAGTTCTGCCATAAGCCCGTAGCACCAAATCTACCACATGGACATTTCTGTCAACTTTCCAGTTGTGCTGAGCTACCTGTTCAATAAACGGCATTTTTATCTTTTTAATTCCTTGTGTCCCATGTTTTCACATCTAGAGGATCTTATGGTATGGTTTGGATCAATGTGGAACACTTCTGCATAATGTTACATTCGAAAAACCACCTCATCTTTAAATTTTGCATACCAGTGTAATATTAGTATGTCTTTATGTATGCTTCACCAAAGAAAAGTGCTTTAAATGCATCTTTTTATTTCATTCTCTAACTTGATTTTTAAAACACACTGTTTTCAATCACATGTAAATAATTTTTTCATTCAAAAATAATAGGTTATTAAATTTATAGAAATGGGTTTATCATAGACAATATAATAAAGCATGTCCACTATCTCTGGAACTGTTTCAAAAGTAAAAAATTGTTAGATGCCAGTGCTATGTATTACAGCCACTTACACAGATTAATTTCAAGTTAAGTTGGCATAAAATAAAGTGATTTCTCGGCTGATGAATGGAAGAATACTTACTATTACTGTGAGAAAATGACTTTAATGAGTTTTTGTTTGTTACCTCTATACATTCCACTTACCTGATCACACAAAGCTTAGCAACTATGATAGTATTTATTGCATTTGGTCATTCAGTGTTGTTAATGGTGAAAAAAAAAAATCTTTAAAACAACATAACATAATTTAATTACAACAAGTAGACAATAATTAAATAATTTTAAAGATATATAATTAGGCTAACTTAGCCTTCCATATCTTGCAGATTAGTGTCTCACCTTAGGTGAGACACTAATCTGCAAGATATGGAAAGCTAAGTCACATCAGACTATCAGAGCACAGGCATGGTTCTGTAGCCAAATGGAATGGGAAATATGTAACAGCATTATTTGGAGATGGAGTTTAGTTCTGTTCACAAATGGATCCATGTTTCTGATACTAGCGGCTCATTTTGTGTCATGATTCAAAAAGAGCAACTGATAACCAGATGCAACCAATCCAGAATTTCAGTTAAAAAAAAAAAAATTGATACTGTCATACTATATAGGAATCTTTGAGCAGCCATACTGATTTCTGTGTATGTGTTTGCACTTAAAACTCTTAATGTCAGGAATGAAATCTTTTTCATTGTGTTAGGATTGTAGAAAAATAATGCCTGACATCTTAGAAATATTTTATTTTCCACTTGCTTGGAGATGAAGGTTTTGAACTAATAGCCTACTTAAGACACAATGACACGCTGAATAAATACTAATTCAGAAGTCAAACAACAAAAATCAGCGTTATATTTTCAAAAATTTCACAGGACTAGTTTTGATGCTTTTACCGAACCACCATCCTCAGCTGCAAAACCCCAAATGAACAAGATAGGAGATAATGATTAGTTAAGATAAGAAAGCCTGGACAAGAATAAGCAAGTGGTGCCATCTGTTGATGAAACCAGAACTAAAACATAATTTCTTTAAAAGCCGAAGGCAAAGATGGATTGGAATTAGGATCGTTAACTAGAACAGAATGATTTTTTTGAATGTGAAATGCATCTAGAAAATCCAGTTCTCCAACGGAAGATGTTTTTTGAATAATTTTGGCAGCAGAAAAAATGAAAGTGTGATTTTCAGACCAACAATGTTGAGCAACAGAAGACTTCTGTGTTTCCTTTTTTCTAACATATGCCTCATGTTCCTTGACACGAAATTTTAAGGCTCTCTTAGTTTGGCCAATGTAAATTAAACCACACTGGCAAGGAATCCTATAAATATCCCAGGAATTCATATCCGGAATGGGGTCCTTGAGTATGGAACTCGGAATTTTATTGATGGGAGAATAAACAACCCGAAAGTTAAATTGCTGCAAAATATGTGCAACATTACAGCTAGTTGATGGAAAGAAGGGAATGACAACAGAATTTTTATAATCTCCTAAAACAAGAGTGTGCCTTTTAGTGTGTTGAGATGAATTTTTTAAATGCTTGATTAATAATGTTGGGTGAAAAGCCCCTGTCAATAGCTATTGCTTTTAAATAATTTAGTTCTTCATCAAGGGCTAGTTTGGAGGAGCAAACTTGAAAGAGCACGGAAAACATAGGAATAAATGAAGCTAACTTTTGTTTAGTCGGATGACATGATTTAAAGTGTGGTGGAAGGCAAACAGATGAAGGTTTACGGTAAACCGTAGTACTGAAGTTGGATGTGTTACGTGTGACCAGAGTGTCGTGAAATGGAAGAGAATTGCAAGTCTCAAGTTCAAAAGTGAATTGAAAGCAGGATCAACAGAATTCATTGTTGAAAGAACTCAGAGATGGTTCCACTATGTAGACGATACTTTTAACCTGTTTGAAGGTAATAAAAATGATTTAAATAAAGTTCTTTCAACAATGAATTCTATTGATCCTGCTATTCAGTTCACTTTAGAACTTGAGACTTGCAATTCTCTTCCGTTTCTCGACATTCTGGTCACATGTAACACATTCAACTTCAGTAGTATGGTTTACCGTAAACCTTCATCGGTTTGTCTTCCACCACACTTTAAATCATGTCATCCGACTAAACAAAAGTTAGCTTCATTTTATTCCTATGTTTTCCGTGCTCTTCAATTTTTTTTCCTCCAAACTAGCCCTTGATGAAGAACTAAATTATTTAAAAGCAATAGCTATTGACAGGGGCTTTTCACCCTACATTATTAATCAAGCAGTTAAAAGATTCTCATCTCAACACACTAAAAGGCACACTCTTGTTTTAGGAGATTATAAAAATTCTGTTGTCATTCCCTTCTTTCCATCAACTAGCTGTAATGTTGCACATATTTTGCAGCAATTTAACTTTCGGGTTGTTTATTCTCCCATCGATAAAATTCCGAGTTCCATACTCAAGGACTCCATTCTGGATATGAATTCCTGGGTTATTTATAGGATTCCTTGCCAGTGTGGTTTAATTTACATTGGCCAAACTAAGAGAGCCTTAAAATTTGATGTCAAGGAACATGAGGCATATATTTGGGCCTTAGAAAAAAGGAAACACAGAAGTCTTCTGTTGCTCAACATTGTTGGTCCGAAAATCACACTTTCATTTTTTCTGCTGCCAAAATTATTCAAAAAACATCTTCCATTGGAGAACTGGATTTTCTAGATGCATTTCACATTCAAAAAAAAAAAAAATCTTTCTGTTCTAGTTAACGATCCTAATTCCAATCCATTTTGCCTTTGGCTTTTAAAGAAATTATGTTTTAGTTCTGGTTTCATCAACAGATGGCGCCACTTGCTTATTCTTGTCCAGGCTTTCTTATCTTATCTAATCATTATCTCCTATCTTGTTCATTTGCGGTTTTGCAGCTGAGGATGGTGGTTCGGTAAAACCATTGAAAAAAGTCCTGTGAAAATTTTGAAAATATAATGCTGATTTTTGTTGTTTTACTTCTGAATTAGTAATAGCTTACTATTTTATGATCACCAGATTTCAGCCATTCAACACTTGCGGGACTAGTTGATCTTACCTTCATTTTGAAGAAGACATGACAGTATCTATCCCTTCAATACCTTCAAGCTAATTTTTGCTAAGATAACTGCCAGTTTAATACATAGCATAGTGGTGAGAAGTTGCCAAGCATGTAGTCGTTCTAAAGATAATGATGGACAATCAGAAATTGATTTCAGTAGTTATTTCTATTAAGATTTTTTTTTTTTTTTTTTTTTTTTCCTTTTCTTCAAAAACTTTAGATATGCTTAGTAAGAAGGGAAAATATAACAATTCATATTATCTGTAGGTGGCATAAATTTTATGTTTTGCCGTATTTAAAAAGTTAATGGGGAAATGTTTTTCCTCAATGTTTGGAACGCAGTGGATATTTCTGTTATTCTCCACTGTCTTAATAGAAATAGCAACAAAATATTTCATTGAATGCTATTTAATTGAAGTATGTATCAGTTGCAGAAAATGATTTAGTAGTTTATATTTTTGTCCTTAAATATTTTGAATTTCTCTTTAGAATAGACAACACTGAAGTTGTTATGCAAAAATCAAACTGTCCAGAAATCACAGCATTTGAAAATCAGTGGAAAAGTAAATATGAATCTTCAGAAAAAGAGAGAGAGTCAGATGCAGATACTTCAGATTCATCAACAGAGGAAAATAATGTATAAATTACATTTACTTATTTTAATTGCTGCGTGTAAAATTTTGCTTAACCCTCTGACAGCACAGCTTTTTGTATCTGCTCATGAAGACCTGTACTGAAACCAAATTTGAAAGCTAAATTTTTATAATTACTTATTTTAGTCTCTGTTTTTATAAATTTCTATTCATTAACATGATATTTTCATCATTAAAGAAAGTGAGAAAGCAAAATATTTTAAATTATAAACTAATACATACCAGAAGACAAAAAAATCTCGTGATTGGGTAAAGGTAGTCATGCCACTCAGAGGGTTAAACACTATATTAGGATTTGTGTATGCCAGTGGTCTTCAAATTTTGTTGAATCTGGAAGTCTGTAAAAGTGTCCTCCCTCTTTTTTGTTTAATTTCTGCCATCTTGAGAAAAATTAAGTATTAAAAAAACATTGAAAATATATTAACCTTATATATAATATTTATGCGAAAAATGGACAGAAAAATCGTCATTTCAATATATTTTTACAGAACAGTTTGAAGACAAGTTTCATTGAGTAAAGTTAGTAATTTATTAATGGAATAAAACACCTGAATCCTCAAATGTTATGAATCTTGAAAAAACAGTAAATATTTAATTCAAAACATTGGAAAGAAGGTTTTCTTTTTTTCTTTCTTTTTTTTTAAAGGGGATATCCAATAGAAACTTTCAGTTAAAAAAAAAGTGGGGGAAGAAGAAAATGGTAGGAATATGATCGTTACAATTTTATTAATAATTGGATCATCAGTATCACTTCAAATCATAACAATGCTTAATGCTTTTATGAACTTCTTACACTAAATAATTTTCTTAAGAGTGCAGTGTTTCAACCTTCTAGGTTGTAATGTAGTCATTGAGCTACTAGCTAAATGTGTAGGAACCTCGTGAACAATTAAGCAAATAATCTGTTTAGTTCACAAACGTAAAACTCAAGAAGGTTTAATTACCCTTTATTCCCCAAAATAAGAACTTACAGTCAGCTCCTTCTCAGAGTGTACAGTAAAGCCTTCACCTTGGGCTTGAACTCAATAAGAAGTAAAACTTAAGTAATGCTTAACTAAAAAGATATAGCTGAAGTTATCAGGATTTCTAAGTAGTTGGCCCCTAAATATCAACTAAGCTGGTGAAGCTATCAAGGGCCTGAAATACGACCAAGCGTAGTAATAGCATAGAGAGAGTGTAGCCAAAAGGCAAACACACACTAGTCAGAAACTCTGGCTCTCTAATGAAATCACTGGAACTTCGACTTAAATATCGCTCTTACTCATTTGCATTAAATGTGATTCTAAAAACACATTCTGGTAGGAAATTGTAAGCTGAAATATTGGAGGGACAGGAAAGTAGCTTTAACTAAAGATAATTGTTAAAACCTTAGGATAATACTAATTCAGAAGTCAAAACAACAAAAATCAGCGTTATATTCACAAAAGCGTTCATTCATATTTTTGTGAATATAACGCTGATTTTTGTTGTTTGACTTCTGAATTAGTATTTATTCGGCGTGTTATTGTGTCTTAACCTTAGGATAAACTTTACAAGAGTTCATAAAAGCATTAAGTACTAAACATTGTTATGACTTATAAAAATTAGTGATGGGTGTTAAGTATTTATTTATGTTAATTCTTAAAATAATTATCCGGCCTCCACACTTGCTTTAATTTTAAAAGATTTTAGAAAATTATAAAAAAAATTGAACTATTAATCAAATTCTCTCCCTCCCATATTATGCTGCGAAAATGAACTTAGGATTTAAAGAGTTTTAATTTTATACCTTCATTTATAAATTTTAATTATATTTTCTATATCAATATATGTGGATTTTAAAAAACAACATTCTTTAATACATTTTTTTTTAAGCATGCATTCCAAAATTTATTGTAGTTAAAAATCTAAATTTTCTCTTTTATTTAATTTTTAGATCATTTTAGATCTTTAGATCTTTTAGAAAGCAGGGTTTTTGTCATTAAGGGATGAGGTACTTTCCCCAACACATTGCTCTGGTCACTACTTCAGCTAAATGGGAGGCACTTAGTTGTTCTCATTAGTGTCAATCGGCTGATCTGACCTTAGTGTTGGTAGCTCGGGGATAAGCTTTCGGGAATACCTGCTTATGGGGAAGGCGACTGGGAGGCTTCAGTTTGCATAGAGGTCTGGCTAGCCTTACCACATCTGATATCATTATCTGATATATACATTATATCTTCTCAACATTCATAGTTTTATCAGTTCTGGGAATTTTATATTTTTTGTTGTTTTAATCTTGTTTATTTATCTATTACTTGTTACTGAAAATATCTGACATGTGTTCGGTGCATATAACCTTTAAGGTTTTGTGCCAGAAAACTCACTACTACTACTACTTCTGTATGTATGTAAAACTATGCTAGAAAAGGTTTGTGAGTTATAGTGATTTGTTTAAAAGGTTTAGGAACATTTTCTAATACCCGAAATGATGTAGCATGAAAAGCTCAATGACTACATCAAAGCTTGCGGAGTGGTGGTTTCCTAATTCTTTACTGCTGAGTTCTTGAATATGTTAGAATAAAAGGGAATGAGCTGGCAGACATCACAGCGTAGTTCACCATTGAACCTTGTTCATTTAACTAATATTAAAATTGCCATCAAGTGTAAAGTTCTGAACCAGTGGCAATTACTGTGAGACATGCCAAAGTGAAATTTTCGGAGGCAAACAAAAGTGAAAAGAGGAAGTCCTATTAACTCACCTAAGAACTGGTTATTCTCAAGTAATACACACTTACTTATTAAAAGCTGAGAGTAAACCTGGGTGTGACTCACAGGTGTGACACATTTTGGGACAGTGTCATTATGTCTTCGTGTGAATTATTTTAATGGTACTGATGTAAGTCTTGACTGTTGTAAAAGATGTGAATTTTTATTTGTTCGAATAATTTAAGGGGGACTAGTTATAACAGCATATGTTAATTTTTATTTGTTCGAATATTTAAGGGAGACTGGTTTTAACAGTTTAATCTGAAGTGATTTTAAATATTTATATTTTTTCAAATTTTACCTAGTTTAATATTTTTATCTTGTGAATTTTATGCACTATCTTGTTGCAGCAGAAAATAATACCCATCAGTTTACTTTTCCAGTTAGTTTTAGTTATGTTCTTTTTCATGTTTTTATCATGACATTAATAAATATTCATCTTCATATCATTTTAGCCACTTCTAAGATTTTATACTTCCTTTTAGGTTTTATGCCAGGAAAATCTACCACAACCACCCTCACTCTAGACTTAGTTCCACTTTTACTTGGTATCTAACTCCAGTTACCAGTTGAAGATGATAGCTTAGTTATGTAATCAAAGTTGTAGGAAATGTATCTAGTTAAAATTTTTACAACCTTATCTCAGATTTATAGTTCCACTTTTACTTGGTATCTGACTCCAGTTACCAGTTGAAGATGATAGCTTAGTTATGTAATCAAAGTTGTAGGAAATGTATCTAGTTAAAATTTTTACAACCTTATCTCAGATATAATGACAGCTTTACACATAAGATACAGATGTATTTCAGATCTTTTCTATTATAGTAAAGGTTTAGCAAGTCGAGTGCTGAGCAGTTTGCACTTACTGTTAATAGTTGTAATACCAGTTAGCTGTCTAGATTTGCATTTATGTTTTTATATTTGGAAGTTAAAATAATGATGTCGGTCAGCTCTCTAAATTTATCTATGTTTATGTTTTTTATTTAGTGGGTATTAGAAATGCATGAATTCCCATGCAAAAGACTGACAAATGTTGTTTTTCATTGTCTGTTGCTTCATTATTAATTCATTGATCTGTCGGGTTAGAGAATGATACTCATAAAAACAGATTTACTTTGCATTATTTTAGGTAACAAAAACAATAGAAATAAGAAAATATTGTGTTGTTTAGATTTGCTGTCCCCATGGTATCAAAAAATTCTTTTAGATCTTGATTTTGGCATGCAGAATCCTTAGAGAAATCATCTGGAACCCAAGGTGAAAGTGAAGTTTGAAGACCACTGACTTACGCTATTCTTTTTAAGTTTTGTGTTAACTCTTAATTATATTGTAGATATCTGTATTTTAAAACTTACATGCAATTACTGTGAAAGCTTAAAAATGTTATGGATTATTTCAGCTGTCTTGTGTGGTGAATAATTAAAAATAATAAAATTTGTTCATTATCAAAACCTGATATTTTATTATACTTCTGTATAATTCTAATTAATGTGCTCAAAGGCTATGACATACTTTTACTCAAAATGTTTTTCCCATTCGAATAGTGAATGCAGTTAATTTGTGATTTCAGAAAAAATATGTCAGAGGGTTTCCTCCTGACCGTGAACCAGAAAGAATAATTGGTGCTACAGATAAAAATGGAGAACTGATGTTTTTAATGAAATGGTACTTTTCTTTTATTTCATTGTTATAAATACATAATACTGCATGTATGATCCGATTTAAATTTAACTCTGTATTTAATTTATGAAAGAAAACTTTTAATTTATTTTATGTTGTTTCATATTTAAATCAGTTCTTACTCATAAAAATTCTTCAGTAAATTACTATACTTGCCTACAGTATATATGAGAATTGCAGATATGTTATAAATGATCCGTCTTCAGATTTATCTAACTCTTTTGCGTTTTTTTTCTTGAAGTTTTGTATTCTGAATCTGAAAAAATACAGTTCCTAACATGGATTTTAAAGGAATGGTTAATAGAATAAAAAGTAAAATGTTCTCTGCAAACTTACAATAAATTCTGCAATAATCAAATTATTGAAGTATTTAAAAGATAATAAAATAAGTTAAACTTTTGAATTTTATCAAACTGATTATCAACTTACAAAGTAATTTAGTTTTCCAAATTACTGAAATAGATGAAAAGTGATAAAAAGTTATGAATTAAGATATCACATAAAATTAATCCTTTGTTTTCAAAATTTACTAATTAGATTCTAGATTTTAGACTTATAAGAAATAAAAAAAGATATTCATAAACTTTGAAATTTATAAATGGAAATGCCATTAAAAAGACTATATTAGACTAATGTTCATAATTTGATGACTAGAAGTTCATAAAATTTCAAGTCCATTCTAATTACTTATTTATCTATTCACTTATTTCCCTTGCAATCACGTACCCCAAGATTTGCACACTAGTAAATTTATGTCAAAATTTTTCATGATTTATATGGATGTTTGAATGAATAAATAATGAAATATTTTTAAAAAGTTTCAAACGATTAATTTAAAATTAAGTACTATGAGCAAAACTGAAAATGTGTTTTGACAATAGTTTGCAATAACAGAAAGTACTGGAATATCCTTTTCTATGAATTCAATTATTTATTCTAAATAACTACATTAAAACAAAATACTGTCATAAAATTTGACGGAAGATTCAATAACAAAATCTCATTCTTTTTTCGAAATTCTAGAAGAATACATAGGGATTGGGATCATTTAATTATGGCAACGCACACAAGGGCTATCTGCTTAAAGGGAGGGATGCTTTTGTGGAGGACTTTCTAAGGAAAACTGGCTCGTATACACTTTACACATGGGGAAAACCAAAAAAAACGCCCATGCAGCCAGCCCGTCCGTGGGATTCGAACCTTGGACCGAACTACCAGTGTTTAGCGTCTTTACCGCTCGGCCGCTGGTGAGCTTGAAGAATACATAGGAAAAATATATAATTGTTTTTAGTAAGCTTGGAAAAGTTTTTGTAATGTACACATAACTTTTTAAATAGAAATTATCTTTTTATCATTTTAAAAAATGTTTTCATTGATCTAATTTTTTCCCTGTTCTCACCTTTCGCCACTTACCTATATTCCAAACTCTTAATACTTGATGGTCTTTTCCTTAAATATACTCTTGTTAATAATCTTTAATTGGCACAAAAGTGGTTGTATCATGTTTAAACAGGGTTCGTAGCGGTCCTTATAAGTGTTTATAAGTCCTTATATTTGAAGATAAAAAATAAAAGCCCTTATAGGTGCTTACTTTTTCTTTGAGCACTTATTTTTTTGTTTTTAGTGCTTTTTTTTAAACGAACACACATTTTTTCTCTGTTTCAAAGCAGAAACTACATAAAAACTTTTCATCCTTATATAGATCGTCGGATGGTGAATCGTACTCCCAGAAATCACTTTTCACTCCTTTCTCTGCATTAACATAACCTTTGGTGTGCGTAAGTACAGACAGGTGCACATCGTTCTATTGGTCAAAGACTTGCGAAAGCGGTAGAAATTCTGGTAAATTCCGTATTCTTTTGTTCCCCAATACTACACGTGTTTGAATTTCTATCAAGATTTTAATAATTTACAGTCTCAGGGTTGCCACGCTACCTGGAAAACCGGAAAAAGTCAGGGAATTCGGAAATTGACCAAAAAATTCAGGGAAAAGTCAGGGAATTTAAGCGTTTCAGTCAAAATCTGGAAAAGCCGGGGAATTTCATACAACGATCCCGCCAAAAAGGCGAATTTTGCGCTGACGTCGGAAGAGATCACTTTTTTGGCGAATTGTGTATCACGTGAGTGTCATTCGGGCAGCTGGCATAGAGCCAATTTTCGCAGCTCCAATTTGATTGTCTTTTTAGAAAGGCAAAGCACGTTTCCCGTAACTTTTGGTTTCCAGTAACCTCGAGAATCGCATGTCCAGTGCATGAACTGAAGAAAGTACCTGTTCTTGTATAAAACAAAATGTGTTTAATCCTAGTATACGGTACCATGAAGGTTAGAATCAAAAATATGTATTGTAAGAAGGAAAACCTCTCTCTGCAAACAGACATGGCTCCGTTCCATCATAGCGGGAAACAGCTGTGCATGCGCGATATATCTGTCGCCAAAGCTCGAAACCGTGTCAAGTTCTAAGGTCACGTTATCAAGAGTTCATAAAATGAATATCGTTTAAAATTTCTTTAAACTCTAAAGGAAAAGAAAATATTTTTTGGCTCAAGTAAATTAATTCATGGATTAGTTATTTTGAGGGGGGGGAAATCTACGAAAATCCGTTTTTAAAATTATTGCGAAAAATCCAAGAAAAAACGTTTCTTCTTGGATTTTTCGCAATAATTTAAAAACGGATTTTCGTACTTTTCTTTTTTACCAAAGAACGTTTCTTCTTAACACGTGTTTCTCAATTTCTGTACACATCGCGGAGACAGAAATTCTGGCCGCCAGGTTCCGTCGCCAAATCCCTTGGCAAATTTTCCCTCCGCTTTTTACATAGACATTCTTTGGTTAGAATAATCTCCATGTATGGTACAGCGGGATTTGGCGACATGATGATGAGCAGTAAACGGGTCATTTTGTTCTTGGCGACAATTTTCAAAATCATACGAAGGCTGTATCGTATACTAGGATTTTACCGCAAAATCTTTTTTTTTTTTTTTTTCTTTTCTTTTTAATAAATACCTTGTCATTTTGCAGTAAAATAAAAAAATAGTAAATCAATCATCTAGGATACCATGTAATATAACTATATTCGCTAAAATATCGTTGATTATTCTAATTAAATTTTTAAGTAATTATCTTATTTTTTTTTATGTTATTCATATCATTTAATGTTGCTTCTTTCCTCTAAATTTTATTTATCATTAGTAAGTAATATTTCCAAATTTCAGGAAATTTTTCTCTGGGCATAATCCTGAAATTAATTCTAGCAGTATGATGATATCACGAAATTTAATGCACATATGTTTTCCTTATGTATGCTGCGAATAAATTAAAATACCTCAATTTAGTAAAAAAATATCATTAAATAGATTTCTTTCTTTTGTTTAGCTGCAGAATTTCTGCAAAAAAAGCCTTATTTTATTCCAGATTGGGCAAATTCTAATCTCAATCTTCAGTGGAGAAAACAACTCTTATTATAATTATATTTGTGTTTTCAAGTGTTAAGGTGTCTTTTAAGAATACACCTCACACAATTAAATTTACCTAAAATCTAACCTAACTTTTAGCATTGCGTTGTGATTTATAAGAACCGGATTAGCCTCGTGTTGAACTGGGGATGATCATGAGTAATAATTAAATAAAATGTACAGTTGTTATCCAATGTATGTATCTTAAATTTTATTAAGTTTTTTAAGCGGAAAAGTAAACAAAATTATCAAACAAAGTGTACCAAGAATAATTAAGAATAAATGTCCTCTGGGATTTATTGAATAATGAAGTGAATTTGCTACACAGTACAAGTAATACCATAATTAATTTACCTCTTAGCACAGCCAACGTACATTACATGAATAGACTGGAATTCTCTCAAAACATACCTGGAAAAGTCAGGGAATTTCATTCTCCTGTTTGAGTGGCAACCCTGAGTCTGTTCCATGTGGTCAGTTCATATTCACATTTATTATGATCGGTATGCTTATATTATAAGCATATGTATGAATATTTATAATATACTCGTATTTGCAGTAACTGCTGAAGTATAGATAAACTTCAAAAATGGGTGTGTTTTAACACAGATTAGTTTTCTGAGGAATAATATTCAAAACGGCATAAATAAAGTGAAAGTAATCAAATAGTCAAAATAGTTTTTTTTTTTTTTTTTTTTTTTTGGGGGGGGGAGGGGCCAATGCAGTACGCAAGTTGGGTGTTCTCCCCTTTCTCCACAAAATCTCGAATAATAAAACCGTTACAGCTCGCAGCAAAGCAAGCAACGGACGTTGTTTTTTTTTCCCGTCACTTTCTAACCTGGATTGAATAGGACTAAAAGTTCTGCAGTCTACCAATCCAAGCAAAGAATGATTCTATTCCGGAAATTTAATGCAGTCTGTTCAAAATTAGAATGAAAAACACCTCATATTGGTAAATCTATTTATTAATCAATATGAGTGTAGAATGGATATCGTGTGGAGTGCGACGTGTCCTGCTCAATGATAAATATGCCACATGGGCGAATGACAGTCCGAATACCGGCAGCCGTTGATTCCGATTGCGTAATATCACGTGCGGAAGAATTAAGGCTCGCGTATTGCGCAATAATGTTTGCCATATTTCGCAGAGATAAAAGAGTTTTACTGTGCTTTGCTAAGCGGATTATTTTTCCGTTCCATTGGACTATTTTTTATATAATTCACATATTGAAATGTCAAAAGCATTATTTAGCTGAAAAATCTTAAAAATGGCTACAATCTATCCCCCTTTCCTCTTTTACCAGTTACGCTCCACTATCCAGAATTTTCAGATATTCGGTAATTTCCGAGTATGCCGGTTAGTTAAGCTTTTACTTTTAAAGAATGACTGCATGAAGCAATTTCCTGCCTTCTGATTTCAGAAAAGTTTCTTTTTTTACTTAAATTACTTTGCTTGCAATATCTGTTAAGGGAAAACTGTTATACAATGAAAATTTAGAAAATGTTCAAAATTTTGATTTAAGTTAAATTATTTAAATATTAATAGAAAGGAAAAATAAATTGTATTTATTTTTAGGTGCCAAGTTAATATAATAAATACGGCTTATTATTATTTATTTTCTCTATTTTGAACTGAAATTCCATCATTAAATCTTGTAATATAATTTAGCTCTGGATAGTTTTTTCCCTCCCTCTCATTGTAAACTAGTTCTGTAAATTGAACTGTTATTTAAAATAATAATAAAAAAAAAAGTAATGTAATTGTTTTCCATGGTTGAGTAATTCTCATTCTCTCGTAATAAATAGTGAATTTCTCATATTTTAAATTACAAGTCTAATTTTTCTTTTAAGGTTATGCAATTGCGTATAATGTAATTAGACATTATACGTACGCTTTTTTTCTTAAAATTTGCTTGAAAAGTGCTTATTTTTTTAACTAAAATGTGGCTATGAACCCTGTTAAAGCAATATGAACTCAAAACAGGATGAAGAAAAACAATCGTGGTAAGTTCCATGTGCAAAAGGATTATCAGTGAATTATAATTTTGGGTGGATGCATGTAGCAATATGCACATTAGAGAATTTTTCATTCTGTGATAAATTCAAAGATATAGGCTAGTAGAGTAAGCAGGCTACTGAAAGCATTCACTTATTTTTGTCATATACAGTACAAAGTCCGTAATCCAGACTCATTGGGACTTCGGCGATTCCGGATTATAGATCATCAATTTAAATCTGGTAAGATGGCATGCAGAAATTATATAATTAAAAATATGAAACCGTAATTTATGAAATAAAGAGCAATTATGATCTAAAATGGTATCAAAATTTCCAAAAAATGCTTAATATTTATTTGTTTACTTTAGTAAACATTTCTATCAATGTAAGTTATTTAAGTTGCTTCGTTTTTTGTGCTAATACTTTTTTTTTTAATTCTATAAACAGACAATTTCTTGTTCAGTTACAAAGTTCCACTGTTCAAGTTCTGTAATTGCTGTGTCAAGAATACCGACTAACTTGTCAATCAAAATTTTTTTGTTTTCAATAATGTTCTCTGTTACTTTCTTCACTATCGGAAGCGCGCATGGGTAAACACTTTACTGGCTTTACGCGCATGCGTAGCGGACGTGCACATCAAACGCATTACGCGCATGCACAAGTTTGTGGCTTTGAGGTCCGGATTGTACTGTATTTTAAAAATCTATAACTTTTGTTTCTGTTTGTTATAAATTATATCTTTTACCAATTTTTTAATAATATCTTTTTAAATATGATACAACTACTTCGGTGTTATTCTCTTTCTCTATTTTTATTTATGTATAATCTTTTCTAATCAAATTCTGATTGTAATAATTGATATGTCGTATAATGTAAGAAAGCTATTTTCATTCAGGAAAGGCTCCTATCAACCTAATTTGGTTAGAGCAACAGATGCAAATGTAAAATGTCCTCAAATTGTAATTAACTTTTACCAAGAACGACTTACTTGGCTGCTACAAGACAGAAAATGATGACAACCAACCAGAAAATCAAACATTGATGAAAGGATCACCTGATTTCTTAGACTGGATAGTTCAAGAACTAAATATTTTTTTTTACAAGTACATTCCTTAAAACACTGTTTTTTTAATATGTATTTTGAATACAGTCAAAAGTCGTTAATCCGGACTCGTCGGGACTTCGGCGATTCCGGATTATAGATCATCAGTTTAAATCTCGTAAGATGGCATGCAGAAATTCTAAAATTAAAAATATGAAACAGTAATTTATGAAATAAAGAACAATTATGATCTAAAGGGTATCAAAATTTACAAAAAAAAAGTTTAATATTTATTTGTTTACTTTATTAAACATTTCTTTTAATGTAAGTTGTTTAAGTTGCTTCGTTTTATGTGATAATATTTTTTCTTTAATTCTATAAACAGACATAATTTCTTGTTCAGTTACAAAGTTCCGCTGTTCAAGTCCCGTAATTGCTGTGCCGAGAATACCGACTAACTTAACAAACGAAACTTTTTCATTTTCACTAACCTCTCTGTCACCTTCTTCATGTCTTTATCCATCTTTTGCAGCAATTCCACTTTTTGTTTAATGGACATTGAAACATACTATCGTTTTGTAGATCCTTTGGGAGCTCCAGCATCGGAAATTCTATTTGACATAATCGAAAGTTCAAGTTTACTTTTATAAAATTGCTCTTACAGTCTGCAAAAAATAATAAGCCGGATTTAATTCGAAGATTAAGGAACAATGCAATCATCAACATTAACTGAAATAGATAATTAGATAATTTTAGCTTATACCGTCCGTTATACATGAAACGCGCACGCGTAAACGCCTATGCGCATGTGTGCACGCGGTGCATGCACAGAAAGTTTTTAGGTTTGAGGTCCAGATTATGGGTGTCCGAATTAACGACTTTTGACTGTATTTTCTTTCATTGATGCTCACATTTGCAATGACAATGTATAAAAACATCACCAACAAGAAAGATTTAGAAATAATAACATTCATTGTAAACCATGCCATTTTTTCGTATTGTTTTCAGAGTTAAGGAGAAAATTATATACACAGTTGAATATAAAGTACTATAAAACTGAAGCACTTTTTATTAATCCCTGAAACAAAAATATATATATTGTTATGAATGTTGTGTAATGTAGCATGAAACGTCAGAAAAGAGTGAAACTCTGCCAGAAAAATAAGGTTACAGGAGCAAGTTTCTTTAACATTGATGTAAATGGCAGTTTCACTAAACTGATGAGATATCGCCAAGCTGGCAGTGGTTTTGTCAACTAATTTTTGTTTCCAAATTTGGCAAAAAATTGACAAACATAGCACCATTTTGGCATGGTCCCTTTATAACTGTAACTGTTCCATATATGTAAGTGCAATCGTATCCAGCCCTCGTATGCCTTTAATAACTTCGAGAAGTGGAAGGTACAGGAACTCTTTTGTAAAAATAACTATATAAGACCAAACAGAGCATCAGTTTTTAGTTCAGAGTCAACTATGGAGTATTGAGATTGAGAAGTGGAAGGTACGGGAAACTCTTTGGCTTATGATATGATAGCAATGTAAATCATAGGTCAAGTTTTTCTTTTAAATTTAGAGAGATAGTAGTTTTTCTGTAAATACATATTACACAAGCCTGCAAAATTTGGGTTGCGTCTTTTTTTTTTTTTTTTTTTTAACTTTCATTTCATATGCATTTTATTAATTCTGAATCCAAAAATTATCTTAATTTTACCGCATCATATCAGGGTTTTCTGGAAATTAAAACTTCAAAATTTGTAAGAAGCTGAAAAATATGAGACTTTTTTCTTAGACGTTTCTAAAATGTTTAAACTTCTAAAACGTTTTTTCTTAGAATTTATTCTTTAAGCTTATACTGAGATAATGTATATATAAAATAGACAATTTTACTTCAGTCATGTGTTGAAGTTTCTATCGACTGCTCATGCTTTTCTTCTCGTGTTTTTGATGGGATTCATCTCGGTGTAACAGTGAATAAATAATAATAAATATAATAAATAAATGAAAAATGCAATAAACTAGAAAATTAGACTCAGCAATTTTTATTAGAAAACTAAAGGGGCTCAATGGATACCCCATCAGATCCCTCAATTGTTTTGCTATAAGAATGCTTAGTGCTAAAAAAAAAGAATTATAACAAAAAAGTTGTCCAAAAAAGTCTCATACTTTTTACGGTTTTCATGATGTATTTAGAAATAACTGCATATTGCAGAGAACCTAATCCATGACTGAATTATACTGTAAAAATTAAATATGCATTTTAAAATGTACACTGGTGTGCAAAAATTAAGGACGAGATGGTTTTTTCAATATAACTTTGTACAAAAGCTTTCCAAATCAACACATTTAATACTGTAAGATCCCCAATATGTAAGGACATGAGTAATGTAAGCAACGCTTACTAAAAGAGAAATCAGAGGGATAAAAAGAAGCTTTATTGAAAAAGTAGCATGGAGCGCAATGGGACTGAAGGCCGAAACATCCCTGTGATGGGTGTCCAGCAAGAAACATACGGTCTTTAATAGGGGATATGATCTCCCCTGACTGCTAGGCAGGTTTCACAGCGTCTGACCATGCTGAGAATGAGGGTGTCAATGAGTTGTTGAGGCATTGCTGCCCATTCGTCTTGCAGCGCCAATCGAAGCTCCGGAATCGTTACTGGTGGTAAGGTACGAGCTGCCAAGCGTCTGCCTAGAAAATCCCATACATGCTCGATGGGATTGAGATCCGGAGATCGTGCCGGCCAATTTATACGTTCAATATCCTCACTCTCTTAAGAGCTGTCGCCAGCTACTGTGCGATGACATGGTGCATTGTCGTCTATGAAAAGGAACTGCGGACCCATAGTGCCTCTAAAAAGACGCACGTATGGAAGAAGGATCTCGTTACAATAACGCGTCCCATTGACTGAACCTGCGTCGAAGATGTGAAGGTCTATACGACTACCAAGCATGATGCCTCCCCAAACGAGAACACCGCCACCTCCATACCTGTCCCTTTCAATGATGTTCGAGGGATGATTGCGGCTTCCCGAGTATGCAATGAGAATCACTACTCAGACTGAATCTGCTCTCATCCGTAAAGAGTACTCGTCCCCATTCATTGTCTCTCCAATTCCGGTGTTCCCGGCACCACAGAGAACGCCTTCTCCGATGGGCAGGCGTTAGAGGTACACACCGTACAGGGCGTCGCGCAAACAGACCACCACCGTGCAGTCTTCTGGCCATGGTAAAACGCGATATCGGTCGTCCAGTAGCCTGTGTCGTGTGTCTAGTGATTTCTCCTGCCTGTTTCTTCTGGCCTGTAAGGCAATATACCGGTCATCTGCAGGTGTGGTTCCTCGTGGACAACCACTACTAAACCCCCGGATAGCTGTTCCTGTAGTTTGAAATTGTCTCCAAAGTCGTGAAACGATGCTGTGAGCAATTCCGAACTCTGCAGCCACACTTGTCACACTGCGGCCTTCTTCCAACTTCCCAATGATTCGACCTCGGGTAAAAGCATCCAGATGTCGTCTAACAGATTGATTATTCGCCATTTCTCGCTGAGGCAGCAACTCGGTGGTGATTTTAACTGCTATACGGCGTGCAATCTCTTTGCCAGAAATACTGATCTTACAAACCGACAACTGCTTTATACTACTCAACCTCCCCCATTACGTCTACCTGCATATCTGCGCATGTGCTACCGTACATCATCTTACTTAATCTCCTGATTGGTCTTTCTTTCTGTCCGCTCTGCCTCTTCGTTCAGCTGATATGCTAATTTTTCGACTTCGTCCTTAAGTTTTGCACACCAGTGTATTTAACTAAATTAAGCATACCATTATTAAAAAGATATATATATATATGTATTTAATGTGTCATACGAGAATAAATTTTTATGAATATATAAGTCTGCAGTCACTTTATCATACAAATATGACAAACAAAGCATTCACCTACCATTTCTTTTACAATTCATATCCTAATAATTCTCCCTGATGCACAATTAAATACTGTGTAGTACTGATTCCCCCTTTTTTTAACCTGTCTTCCAATTTCTCAAATTGGAACTCATATATATTTATTGATGATAATTTTAGATATGTACATATTTCAGTTACAACTAAAGTGCTAAATACTTTTCTTCAAGAATATCGTAATATGAATATTCCTCTTTCTTCACTGTATGTAAAAAAACTTATTACATTTCAACATGGCTTTCAGGCAAGAAAAAGAGACTTCACCCAAACTCATTATTTTCTTTAATTTAAAGTTAGCTTAAGTCATTCAGTTCTTAATAGGAAACTGTACTATTACTTGATCAGTTCAGATTCTATAATCGATTATCATTCCTGATGCTTTCAAACTTATTCCAAGTTCAAGATTTTTCATATGATGCTTGGTCACATTATTTCTGAATAAAACTACGTTATATTTTTTTAGCACTTCCTACTAATGGGATGTAGTCGCCAAATATGTGGCAGCCTGTTTGTGTCATATCACAAATAGCTGCGTAATATCGTTACAAATAAGCAGGAAGAATGAAAATCAATCTAGGAATTTTCTCTCTTTAGTTGCTTACACAGATGAATTGTAGCTCTCAGACACCTGCAAGTTAACCACAAATGAAATGTTATTGATCCTGATATGGGATCTGTTTTGTCATATGCGAAAAATACATCAGCAGAGCACTGGCTGCCAGCATCTAGATTTCTACTACATCGAATTCGTGTGTTGGTGACTGCATGAAATGACAAATGTTTCAGCAATGTTAAATGAAATTGGCAGTTTTATGCTTTCTGTATAACCTGAAATTAATCTGTTAAAATCTACTTTTATTTGTACTTTTTGTATTTATTATGGATTTAATAAAATAGTTATTCTTTTCATGAAGCTTTTATGTTATCATTTGGTGTTAAAAGGCATTGTGTTAACAGAAAAGCACACCGATTCTATTTAATCTTAATTATATGTAAATTAACTTTAACATTAAAACATCATCTCTATATCACATGTTTGTGTAAAATTCATTAGAAGAAATATTCAGTGTATATGCTAGTTACTTTGCCTTAAATATTGCAACTGTAACATACATGTAAAATACTGCTTCTGATGAACATAAATCATTAAGAAAATACAGGGAGAGATATAAAAACTTCAAAAACCTAAAGTAATACAATAAA